ATCCACCCTGGTAGCTGTCAGTGTTGGGGTAAACTGAGCCTCCCTTTCCTGGGCCCAGTGTGTCTCCAGGCATCCACATGTCACCAGCATCTCCACTATTCTCTCCCTGTTCGAGATCATAATTGCCATCCTTTTGAAGCACTGCAACCTGATAGTGATTTCCATTTTGCGGCCAGCCAGGTTGACCTGGATATCCCCGGTTCTTTTGCAGTGGCGCCGCATCATCAATATTGTAAATAACAAGACCAGCTCCCCACATGTGGATGTCAAACAACAGTGGCTGCCTATTCTCAATCAACAAATATTCTGATTGAGATCCAAAATCATTGAGATTGATCCTATATGCTTCATCTGATAATTCTGCAGCCTTCAAGTTGTACATGCCATCACTGGTGATTTCTACTGGTTCTAGCCAATCTGCCAGCACCTTGCTCCAAGGGGATAGATGACCAGGATTATTTGCATCATCAGCTGGACCTATAGAGGTTGATAGCATGTGTCAGGAAACAGCAAGACACAGAACGAAAATCGGGCACCAATTCCATACCATATCTTTTGCCAAACAAGAACAGTAAGGAAGAAGTTAGAGCCAGTTCATAGATACAATGGAGTTGGCAGGCAACACAAACTTAACGGAAAAGCCATGATGTCAAAGGCACCAACACCTGATGCAGCCAAAGCATCAACACCATCATAGAGATCCTCAAGTCCTAAAGAAATATAGACAGGTTGGGAACCATGGTATTTCACTGTACTGTAGCCACTAAACATCAAACACGAGCAATATACCTAGAGTGTGCATGTACTGTGGGTATGAGGGAAAAGCAGATGATGAGAGATCTTTCCATGCTTTGATTTCTTGGCCCGTTGGGGAGCACCGCCTACCTCATGTGCTGTCAAGCCAATTTTTGCTGGCACTGTCCCACACTCAGCATCGAACGCTGAGGACACTGTGTATGTATTGAGTCGAATTTTCCTGTCTGCTGAGAACCAGGAATCCCTCCTCCTTGAAGCACTGAAAGCTGAAGGAACACAATGACAAATGTCAGTGAGATACCAACACTAATCCTCCATAGCCTCACTCAATCTCCGAAGATCAAACCTACCGTGAGCCCAGATTCGGTTCTCATAGGTTGCATCATAACAGTCTGTTTCAAAAGTCTCTGCTCCGTAGCCACTGTGCATGATGACAAATGAATCAATTTCTCCATTGCCATCCGCATCAAACTTGCTCCAGTCCCAACCCAGTCTTGCATCTAGCTCACTAAGGATTGGCCATGCGATCTGCTGTGATTCTGGCACAATCCCTCTTCTTCCCATGGAATAGTACAGTTCTGTGTTGTCTGTTGTTTGCCAGTCAATGACTGTGGGTTCAATATCATAGCGCCCCTGTGAATTGGCTCGGAACCAATCTCTCATGTTGACGAGCCAAAACGTTCGGATGTCCCGAACTGGGATCATATCCCTGTCAGTGTGATCTGTGAATCTTGCCAAAACAACAAGGACCTTGAAACAAAAAGTTAGTTATGCATCTTTGTCAAACTCTTTGTGGTACGTATGAACAGATACAGTGATGTACCAGTGGACCTACATTAATCTTTCCCAGCTTTGGGCTCAATCTCACTTGTTGTTGGATTCTTCTGTGAGACTGCACATGCTGTCCCATAGCTTCATCATGGTCAATACATTCTTCTTCTGACAGAAAGCGGCACATTTCTGGATGCATATGCTGGGGGGTGTAGTTGAAGTGTAGATTAAGACGCTGTCGAAACTCATGGAGGGATTCGAATGTGTTGGTGGAATTGGGGTGTGGCGGGATCCATGCCCAACCAAATCGCCATTTTGTTGTTGTTACTATTGTTATCCCCGCTATTTTTTGCACTAGGGATCTAAAACCGACCATGGGTTCATCCTGTCGTTATGGGCAGATTAGATTCGACTCGACTCGACTCGACTCACATCAACGATCAGCATGGTCAAAGCAAGCGAAAGAAGCAAGCTCGGGGTCGTTGCCCTGCCATGCGTTTGGTTGGAAGAAAATTCATTCTGTGGCTCACTTTCGGAAACGCAAGCCCTTTTTGGGGTTCACGTTGTTGTTCCGAAAAATGACAAAGGAACCGCTCTGTGAGTCTCTGTGTCCTACTGTAATGATTTTTGACCGAAACAGCTTTTGGGAAAGCTTCTCTCTGACGGTCGCATCGTTCCTGTCGGAACAGATCGTTCCTACCGATAGCTGCTACATGAGCTTACATACGTGGTTCCACTGGGTGGTGGGTGGTGGTACCGGTTGCAGGAGGGAGCGCTCTCGTGCAAATAGCAACCAAAAGCAGCACAACCAACCTGGAACTCCATGCGATAGCTCTAGGTTGCTGTTCTTTGGCTAATGTAGCTGTCAAGACGACCCCTTTTAACAGCTGTCTGTCTCTTCCATTTCAAGTAGCTATGGGTACTGAAGTTTGCACTACCTGGTACCTGGTACCATGAGACGACGACGAAAGCGGCCTCGGAGTAATACTTCTGGCTACTGGCCTGGCCCTCGCCATGGCAGTCATGGCCAGCACGGGTGCTCACACCTAGATGGACTGCAACTCGACAGAATGCTGTCAAGAGTTTTTCCAGTTCGCCCAGACCGAGTGTGTCTCTTGGATCTTGGACGTGGCAATCTGCAGGGACCCCTTTTCCGGCCGTCGGTGGCTGTCTCCGTAGTACCGGTATGGATCGTCCCGATCGCAATCTCCGGGTCTGCAATTCCGGAAGACGTGGACAGTAAACCACAAGTCAATCCTGAGCCCTGAGCGCAGGCACTTACTAGCTTGATTGTATGCCGCTGACAAAGTCTGCCTTGTTGCCTTTAAATTCCTTCGCGGTGCCTCCGTGCCCGACTGGTGACTGATGTGTGTAATGCTGCAGGCTGCAGGCTAGGTTCACGATGCACGGGGGACAACGCCTGCACTTTGACTGGTACGGTACCTTGCTTTATCTCACTAGCTAGCCAGATAATCAAGCCAGTTCTGCAAGCCGTCGCTTTCGACCTCCTACTAGCTAGCTAGCAGCTAGTAGCAAGATGCCACCGTATCAGATGACCGTCGGCCGAGAAACTCATTTCT